TCGGCCCGATTATGATCGGTGACCGATCGATCGGCACACCTCTATTATCATATACTATCTGTGTAGGTTGTTGTGTCCTTGGCAAAGACACTTAACCTGCTTTGCAAGCTGCTGGTGTTCAGTTGCATGGCAGCCTCACTTTTGTCAGTTTAGCTTTACGTCTTCACTTTGTTAAAGTGTAAATTAGTCTGTGAATGATTTAATGTAGTGTAAAACACTTCAGAGTCCTTGACTATGCATGTCCATTTGGAAAACCTGAACTTTAACTTCCTGTCTGATGTCTTTAGATGTTGTTTTAATGTTTCCACAATATGTTCTTTCTTCTTGATCCAATGAATTTTCTGAAGCGCACCAGTTCCTCCTGTGGCAGCTCCACAGCATGGCGCTGCCACAACCATACTTGGTGTTCTCAGGCCTACAAGCCCCCCCCCCCACTCCAAATGTAACAATGGTCATTACGGTGAAACACTTGTTTCATCACACCACACAGGACATGTAGCCAAAATTAAGGTCTTTGTCCCTGTGCGCATTTTCAGACTACAGTCTGGCTTTTTAATGTTTTTTTTTTGTTTTTTTTTTTTGAGTAATGGCTTCTTCCTTGCAAAATGGCTTTTCAGTCCATGTCAGTTCAACACATGTTGCACTGTGGGTAATATGTGTCTCTTTACTCCTGTCTATGTAAACTTCTGGATTTCACTGTGCATTTTTTATATTACTAAATTATTGGGTATTAAATAACATCCATGCTGCCATCAAAGCATGATTACTCTACTTCCAATCTGGAGCGAAGCCGAATAACACCTTTTTGTCTTTAAATGTTTCTGGGGTAAGGTCTTCAATTGGTAGCCATGACAAGAGTTAATGATGACAATCTATAAATGCTAAAATATAAGAGAATCTAAAAAAAATCCGCTCCAGAATGAAATGCACTTCATTATTTCTTATGATATCAAAATAGATAAATCAATTTTACAATTTAACATCAGTAATTTAATAAATACAGGCTCAGTCCACAGCTCAACACTGGAGTCAGACAACCAAACAAAAAATGTCCCCTAATATACTGTTGCACAAGAAAATCAAAAGATTAGACTGTGCAATATTTAGAAAAATACATTATGTCAAAACACTAAATGTTAAACTGTACAGTGGTTAATTCATATGTCAAATGCCAACGTGTGTGACAGCATAATTAGAGAACAAGCAAGAAAGCACGATGTACACTGCTCAAAAAAATAAAGGGAACACTCATATAACACATCCTAGATCTGAATGAATGAACTATTCTCATTGAATACTTTGTTCTGTACAAAGTTGAATGTGCTGACAACAAAATCACACAAAAATCATCAATGGAAATCAAATTTATTAACCAATGGAGGCCTGGATTTGGAGCCACACACAAAATAAAAGTGAAATGTTCCTTTTATGTTTTTGAGCAGTATATTTTGAAGAGCTGCCAAGAGAGATTTTTTATCTCAGTCTCCAAAAAAAGAGAAAATTTTACAAAATGGTAGCACGGTTCAATTTTGCAGAGCTATTTGTAATAAACCACAAGATTTCTGAAAGAAAACAACTTTAGACAGAATAAACTGAAGTGGAGAGATTTTATTTTAATGTAAAAGACTATCTTAAGAGAAAAAGAAAAACTGGATCTCAGGGTAAAGATCTGATAGGAACTCTGAATTAAGGCGGTGGAGTAATAATGATGTGGGCTTATTTTTCAACCACAGGACATCTTGACCTCTCCTCTGTATGCATACAGCAGGCTTTCTTCTGTGTGTCAGATGAAAACTACATGCTGTTCTTAGTTTTTCCACACAAAAATTTGCTGTTCCAGCTTAATCTCTGTTTAGTAAATAATAAATAACTTTAAACACTTATCTCAACTTTATAATTAGCTACACGAGATGAGTCATCTCGATCCAAAAGTTATTCGTAAACACACCCCATGTGTTTAAGACCTTTCCACTGCTCTGCACACTTCAGCATTTTGCAGTAAATGCCCCACCTTAAAGGGTTTTAACCAAAGTTGAACCCGTTAGCCCGCAGCTAGTTTTGAATAAAGTCGTTCAGGGATGAAGAAAGTTACCTCCGGGCTGCTGAGGAGTCAGTATCCACATGTTTAAGCCTTTTCGTCCCAGTTCATTAATTGTAACAAGCAAAAGGGGAGCAACAGTGGGACATTTTTAAGATAAACAAATCCTCTTCACGATGAACACACTCCCCGCCACTGCTGACGTCATAACTAAGCGCTGCTCTTTTTCAAAATAAAAGTCCAGGTTGAAACTCTGGGAAAGATAACTGAAAGGAAAAGTCGTGTGTTTATGTTCTCATTTGTGTTGTTTAAATGCATTAAATGAAACGTGTATGATTTGTTAAGTTAAATGCTTGTATTTTAGAAAATAAGAATAAAGGTAAAAAGTTTTGTAGTTATTTTTATTCAGTCAAATGTGTCACAGGACATACAATAATAAAACAAAAGGAATAAAAGCGTATTTCTAGAATATTATCTAAAATGTTTCAGTCATTATTTAGGTCAATCCCTAAATTACTTATCATAACAATTCATTATCATAACTTAATTCATCGTCAGAGTAATAATTTATGTGAATATGTAGTGTATAAAACAAACGAAAGTAAAAAAAAAAAATTAAATAAAGTAAAAGCATTCAGTTTTACTGAGCCGTATGCGTAAGACATATGCATAGGCCACTAATGTAAGTACAGAAGGAATGACAATTATTTTCTTAAAAGCGATACAAAAACTTGCAGGCTACTTTGATGAAAGAATAGATAAAATATCAATGGATTATGTTAACAGCTTAGAAGCCAATTAGTATTTATCTTGTTGACGTTTTTTTTCTTTAATGTGGTGGAGACTTACTAAAATAAAAAAATAATAAAATGTGGTTTAAATAAATGAATAAAAAATCTGTATGGTACAAACAAAAACAAACATGTTTTTTCTTTCATTGCTGTTTGGTCAGTCCTATTTGCCAAAGCGACATATGTGTCTTTTCTGTACCTGGTCTTAAAGTAGCATAATCAACACTACAACAATGTAAATAACAAAATAATGCAACTCTCAGTTTAAGTCAAATGGATAAATAATGGCAAGAACTATAACACATATGTATAAGCATTTAATTTATTAATAGCTCATATTTTAAATACTACTTTAAACAAAGTAATAAACTCTTTCATAGTCAGCAGATGCACAAAATAAAAATTGGTCACAATGTTAAAAAGGAGAATCACAATTGTGTTTTTTTTCCTTTGTTATCTCTCAACAAGCTTCACATATTTTTTTCTTTTGGCAGAATGGCTTAAATTAAAATAAAGGATCGTTGTCAGATTTCCATGGCTGCCCGGCTGTTCTGAGACGTCCTTGTCCCCAGAGACAAGGTAATTTGTGATTGACTCTCATCACAGCAACGCTGGTGCAAGAATCCGGTTTACGAATGACTTCGCACCATTCTGGGTAGTCAATGGGCTTGGTCGCACTGTAGGGAGGAAGAAGGGTAAATTAACGTAAGACATCAAGTGAAAATGTCAAGAAAAGGTTTATTTGAACTGCATATGACAACAAACTCACAGGTCACAACATCCCACTCCAAAAGGCTCCATGCAGACACACTGGTAGCAATCACTGGTTATCCAGCTCTCCCCAATGCCGTACACCTGACCCGTGTATTCACAGCTTGCTGATGAGGATAAGAGAGAGAAACGTTTACTTAAACAGAACCGTAAAAAATAATGTGCTAAGAATTTTACTTGAATGAATGACAAATAAACTGTCAGTCAGCAATCATTTTCAGATTTGAAAGTAAAGCTTCTCAAAACATTTTTAGTTGATCATGTGGTATAGAATGGCAGTAAAAATTTCATTTTTGAAGTTGAGCGTATCATTAAACAATAAGAATACAACATATAATACAATATTAAAAAGTATGCTTTCCAATGGATGCATTTATTAGCAAAAATGTTACTAAAATCTACCTTTAGTGTTGAAGAAGCATTCACCACTGTTATACACCGAGAAGCACGGCAGACTAACTCCCAGGAGCAACAGTGAAGCCAAAAGTACTTCCCTTGCGTTGGCCATTTCTGGGGAAAAGCTTTGCAAAGGTTAACGAGAAGAAAAAACAAACAAACACTGAAAGCACAAAGATCCAATCAAAGGTACAAACCTGGGTCAATTTTTCAGCACTCCTGATTAAATCTCCTCAGACCTTACAGTGTTGTGAGTCAGTTCTTCTCTTCCGTTTGCTCTCGTTGCAGTCACCGTCGCGATGCCTTCATGTTCCCTTCTCTAATTCTATTATTTTCTTTCTAAGCCTCCACACCTCCTCCTTGGTGCCCCAGATGAACCGATGCACTTTCTCCCTTTTGGTCTCAGATATTTATACTGCACCGCTTCAGACTCATCAACCCCCACTCATGTATTACCTTCTTCTATCTGCACACAAACACAGACGCATGAACACACAAGCATTATGTTCGTCATTGCTTCTCCCCTCCTGAGCATACAGTGTGCAGGCTTTCAGATAACGTTTGTCTCAATGGCTCCCATTTGACCCCATCTGTTGCAGCACTGTTCATGTCGTCCATAAGACAGTCAGCCTATCGCTGATTGTTCAAGCTAAGAAACTCCAATTATGTGTGCAGGAAGGTAAACAACAACCTTTGACCTCCCGCTCAAAGTAACATTTAAAAAAAAAGGCAAGTGTGTCTCTGATTGTTCAAATGCATCTTTGTAAAAGTTTGGATATTTTTTTTTTCTTTAACTACTTAATGAGAGATTTTATGCAGTTGGTTTGGTTAATAAATCCTTAATTAGCAAATGTGAGTCTCAAGATGGTTTCATCTGACAACATAGCTCTATAAATAGTCCTGTGCATCAGTGTGAGGTTTGTTTTGAGAAAAAGAAACACAGTGAGGGTTTCTTTGTTTATTTTAAGGTTATTTTTGGCTTTCTAACATTGGTAAAAACAAAATGGTGATGGTTGTGGGATAGTTTCTGCAGCAGGATGACTCACTGTAATTGATGGAACCTTGATTTCTGCTCTTCATTTGAAAATGCAGAATATTTGACCTTCAGTTTGTGACCAAAATCTCAAGTCACTTATGCAGTGATGCAGCAGAACAATGAAAGAACACCATCGTATCCATGTATAAGCATCCACAAAACAAAATGAGAGTCTTGGAGTGACCAAGTCTGAATTTAAATCTTATTTCTGCGACATGAACTTAAACAGTCTGTTTTTGCTGGAAAACTCTCCAGTGGCTCATTGGTCACAACTCAGTTTGAGTCTTTCTCTTGGAATTTGGACTGTTTTCCTGCGCGAATGCAATAATTTTATTTTGGATAACACAAAAAAAATCTAATTAATTGTTCTTCTACAGCTCTGGAAAAAATTAAGAGACCACTTAAAATGATCACTTGCTCTGACTTTACTTCTTATAGGTATATGTTTGAGTAAAACGAACATTGTTCTTTTACTCTATGAACTACTTAAAATATGTCTCTGAAATTCCAAGTAAAAAATTCATATTTATTTGCAGAAAATGAAAAATTGTCAAAATAGCAAAAAAGGTGCAATGCTTTCAGACCTCAAATAATACAAAGAAAATAGGTCCATATTCATTTAGAAACAACAATACTAATGTTTTAACTCAGGAAGAGTTCAGAAATCAATATCTGCTGGAATAGCCACGAGGTTTTCAATGGGGTTCACTGGAGCTGTATGTATGTGTGGGTGCTGTGATGCACCCACAAATAGTTTTTTTCAGTCTACTGTGGGTATTGTGTCAAAAACTAACAAACAAACAAAAAGCAAAAAAAAAAAACTTGCTGGCCTTTGATTGGACATGTGTACGACCAACTCATCTCTTTTTATAATAGGAGGCTTCATCTATCATTACTAGAGCCCAGTTTGAGTTTTCTATCTCAAATTGCAAATTGTTATTGTAAGGAGCTGGATACCTGTCCGTTGTGTATGTGCCCCTCAAAACTTTACCAGGATGGATGGATGGATGGATGGAAACGTCTTTATATTGGACTTCATATATTTTTCACTGACCACAATTTGCAACAAAACATCAACATGTAACTGAAAACTTTTATTTAAATAAATGCATTTAAAACATACAGTAACGGTGGGATTTATGAAAATAAAACAACAAACATGCAGGGAATCATGAAGCAAAGATCAGAGGGAGAGCTGACAGATCATATTGAAACACTGTTGTCAACCTGGTGTGATGCACAAAGGCTTTTTTACTTAGTTTTCTGCCCCTTTGTAATTTGATGCACCTAAATAAAATTCACCCAACATTTGTTTGGGATAGCAGCAAATACCATGTTGCCATAGATCATTTCTAAAAACATTGCTGTTCAGCGTCTCATTTAGTTAAAAATCATATTATTCCTAACATTATTTCCTTCAAGCTCAATAGGACGATATTAATAGTTCCCTTAAAAATGGACTCTTACATAATAAAATGCCCTTTGGAAAAAAATAATCTGAATTCGTTGGTAATTGTTCAGTTACAGCCAAAAGCCAAAAAGCATCTTATCATTACATAAGAGCAGCTGATGAAATGTTAAAATTAGTAACCGAAGCGTGCGGTTATCTTTTTAATTGAAGCGATACAACACGAGTCACGCATGTGACGACATTAACAAATCATTCGCCCTGCTTCCATTTAAGCCTTGCAGAGAATAAATGCAGAATTCACACAACAAACACACACACAAAAAGAACAGTTTTTAGAAGAATAGTCATGGGACCAAACAGTGAGTTTCCTGTCCATAACATGGGCTAAAAGGCCCGATTCTTGCCTGCAGTAGTAAGACAAAGACCATTATCTGGATGATTTGTTTATTCTTTATCTTAAGAACCAGGATCCCAGCTACAGCAGCTGTTTGCTCATGACAGAGGATCTTCCTGTTTACTTAGAAGATACAGTGCAGAGTTATAAACTAAATGTGAGTTTTGGAGGGTGTGTGTTTAAAAACAAGAACAGTGCAGCTTGAAAATTATCATTACTTTGTCTTCCATTCCTACCGTTGTTCGAAGCGTTGATGATTTACACAGACTCGGTCGGGGTAGGTCATGAATTTATTTCTAAAGCTTTGCTCTCATGATGATACAAACCACTGATGTAAAGTGTAGCATCCTTTTACCTGAGCAGCCTCTCTGCAGAAGATCAGACGTCAGTGCCAGACTCTGTAGGAATATGTCTGATATTTAGTTGATACGATGAAGCACAAGAACAACCGAATATCAAACATATCACACAGCCTCTGGCGAATTAGTGGTGGGGTCCAAGCAGACTGGTAAAACCTGTTGGGAACAAAAGAAAAAAAAGAAACTCTATGAAGAAAACAATTCAGAAATCCCTCCCCTTCCTAAAATATATCAACGACTGCCTGATAAAAGACCTGAACAACCAGTTCTGTAGGAAATGACACAGGATCAGCATTCGGGGCTCTGGGCCTCTGACACTGGGAGTCTGAGACCCTGCTGACATTTCAGATCATGGTGTGTTTGCTTCAGGCAGTGCAGGGTTGAATATCTCTCCTGCATCATGTAGAAAGACAAAATGATGATACTCACCTGCTTCGTTTATCCAAGGATGTTAGTATTGTCTCTTTTTGCTTAAATTCAACGGCTAAAAAGAAACATTTCAGTGACTTATAAAAAAAAAAATAATAATTTGATGGTTTGATTAAAAAAGTAAAAAAAGAAAAAGAAAAAGAAAAGTCTCTCAGTGATTTTGGAGTTTAAATGCTTTACATTGGAAGGGCAGCTTATATTTATACCCGTTGTTTGAGTTTAGGGGGTTGGACTCAATAATCAGTCTTTTGGGAACATAGAAACTCACACTGATGTAATTAGACATGTATTGATCAGCTGCTCTGGCCTGCAGCCTTTCCTCCACGCAATAGCCTGATCAATACATGTGATGTTCATCCTGCTGTGAACACGCTCACGCAGTACACACACACACACATACACACACACACACACACACACACACGCATGAAAGCATATGCAGAGTCAAATAACTTTCAGTTTTTGCCTGTAGGAAGGACAAATGTCAAGCATGATGGTCACTTGATTATATCCTTTGTCATAGGGATAAAACACTAAATGTAGGAAAAAATTAGACACATCCAGTTCAACCACCTCCCTTCAGAAATCAAATAAGTAGTAAATAAGATCCACCTGAGATTATAAATACAGTCCTTCTGTGAAGGCCTTAGAGGTTTGTTAGAGAACGTTAGTCAACAAATCTTCATGAATACAGCAGACAGGTCAGGGAGAGGATAGAGCAAACATGTGGAAGACAGGGCAGTGGTTAGACCAACTTTTCTTAAACAAACGAGAGCAGAACATGGTGGTAACAGGAAATCCTGGAACTAAACCAACTAAAAAAAACAGTTGAGACTGGGGTGGAAGATGAACAGCAGGATAGTAACCCTGAGCATAGAGCTGCATTGAATGGTTTATCTCAAAGTAGATTTAATGTGTCGAATGGCCCAGTCAAAGTACAGACCCAAATGCAATCAAGAATTTTAGCAACATCTAAAAGTGTATTCTCTCTACCCGATCTGATCAGGCTTGAGGCATTTTACAAAGAAGAACTGCCTAAAATGTCAATTTCTAGAAGTTCAAAGATGTGATAGATCCATCATTTATTATTTCAGTATCACTGCTCCCAACATGCAGGATACTAACCCTGAGCATAGAGCTGCATTGAATGGTTTATCTCAGAGTAGATTTAATGTGACAAATGGCCCAGTCAAAGTACAGACCCAAATGCAGTCAAGAATTTTAGCAACATATAAAAGTGGTAGCTATAAGTGTTAGTTAATTATTTTAGCACCAGACATCCAGGCTCTCTGCACCCTGTTATATTTGGTGACCCTTCCTTTAAAACAAATGTAAAATGTTTGAGAAGGCATTTGGAAAATTCAACATCAGAAAAAACAACTTTTTAAATAAAACTTAGTGAGATGAAAATTATGAAAATTATGATTTTTGTTTGTTTTTTTTAATGGTCGGACTCACTATCTGCAGTCTGTTTGCTATGAACCTAAAGGAAGATGAGAGTAGCGTTTAATTATGTTTTGTTTTGAGTTTTACTGTTATCACAACACTCACAAATATCGTATGCATCCCTATCATTGTGCAGCCGTATTTCCTGAGCGCAAATGTTCAGTACTTTGTGTTTGTCTACCAGACGTAATCACATTAAAATTTTTCTAGATTTGCACTTGTAAAGTCAAAAGCATTTAGAAAATAGCACAAAGTATGAACATAAGGAACTATATGTTATTTGTGTTCAAAAGAGATCTTTGACTTATACCCTGTTTTTAATGACTGTAATCAAAAGTTTCATAATGCATCAAAATTCAATTGTTTTAAATTATGTGTTAGTTGTTGTTTTTCATGCATTGTGCCACTTAAGCACAATTTACAACGTTTGGGATTTGCATCAGTCAGTATGAACTCAAAGGTTGCACTGTCCTCTGTTTTCAGGCTCTCGGATGTTGGGTTAAAAGCGATTGCAGGCAGGCATATGGTTGGACTCTCACGTGTGAAATCAACAACAACCAATAACAACACAGTACTTTCACCTCTACATACACTGCAGGTCATAACTGTGTTTGCAGTTAATAATTGATGCAATTCAAAAGCAATCGCCCTTGCAAACAAATAAGATGACTTGTAGTAATGCATTAATGGATTCTTCATCATTAAACTCCCTGAATACAGAATCAAGCAAATCAAGCAATTTTCTCCATTTCAAAATTTACAACTAATGTAGCAGAACATGTTTTCCATTTTTGTGTGTCAAAAAAAAAAAATAAATAAAATTTCTCATTCATGGACAACCCAGATGTCGGTCAGTCTACTGTTTCAGTCCCACTCTATCACCTCTGCATCCTCTCCTGCTATGACCTTGACAGCCTATTGGGGCGTGATGATGGCTCCGCGATCTCTGATCGCCTGTTGTGAGCCTGGGGGTGACAATTAGGCAATGCTCCATCCGCAACAGATGAAGGACAGTGTGAGAAATAATGGACAGTGCAGAAATCAACAAAATAGTGCATATCCTTTAAATGACAAGTACAATGCCTGGCAAAAGCATTAGCACACATTTTTGTCAATTTCAGATTGCAAATTTTAGTGAATTTAACTGGAACTTTGCAGGAGAGATTAACATAAAGTAGTGAATAATACTGAAATGTAAGAAAAGCAATACGTGGTTTTCAAAGCAGAGATTCAATTTTACACAGGGAAACTGTTTATATGAAGTCGATGGCTTAAAGATTTGGAGTGTAGATGAAAACCAAACATTTCATATGTTAATTTGTAGACACATTTTTAAAAAATTCAAAATGATTCACCTTGAGTTTGTTGATCAAAAGAAAAAGGAGTATGGATGTTTTTGTAAGACGCTCTTTTATTTATTTCAAGTTTAATATTTCAGACAATAACCATTTGTGAAATCTCTTTTCAAGACTTCAGAGGAAAATAAATGCAGACTTATTCCATGTTTTATTACAAAGTGACATGTGTTTAAACATCAGAAATGTTTAAAATTCAACATCTAGAGATTTTAAACTGATGATTTATTTGTAGAAGCAATGACAACACATTCCACATAAATGTTTTATTAACTTAATGTTTTTGTCAAGACAGACTGCTGTATACATTTTGGATTATTCTATGATACAAATTACTTTACTTAGTAAACATCAGCATAATAGAAATGTCTGTTTTCTCAAAGTGTAGGAAAAGTAATCACAGTAGAAACGAAAAGTCATATTTGATTACTTATTTTTGTGCAGTTTTCTAATAAACCTCATTCAAACACTTTTATTTCATCTGATTGTGATAAACAGAAATATCCTTTATTTTTCACAAAGTGGGAAAATTCAAGTACAACAGCTGCAAAGTGACTCAAAGATGAAAGAACTGAAATAAAAGTACTTTGTGAAACTGTTTTGTAGATTTATTTTGATATAAATTATTGATCTTCTTTAAAAAATTGTGTGAACGTGTGTCATGTTCACACAGACAGCAAAAAGAGAACATCTTATTAATTTATTCAAAGCTAACATCTAAATTGAGATAACCGTACTTTAAGATTAACCTGTACCCAAATTAACCTGCATTTAGTTATACTTTCAACAGAAAACACAAGGATCATAAGGAGTGGCAAACATTTCCAGCTACTCTTTCCCTCTGTTTCCCTCTCTGTTGTTGTCTCTCTCTCTCTACCTCTCTCTCTCTTACTCTCTTTCAGTCTCTTTGTGTGTTACATGCTCACCAGCACACAGGCCTGAGGCAGAGTCAAAGAGGAAGAGAGAGCCAGAAAAGGTTAACAGTGATTATTCAATACCCATCTCTATGTTTTGAAAATTGAAGGCAAAGGAGTTATCTAACAGAGAGAGGAATGAAAATCTGAAGCCATAGCTAAACGACGGAAACTTTAGGAGCTAAAGGCCAGCAGAGAAAGTACAACATAAGCCAGAATAGCATATCCACGCAAATAGTGACTGTGCAATGAATCAATGGAGTGCTGAAAACCAAGCACTGACATTTTCCCTTGTTCTTCTTTTACTGTCAGCAATATGTTTTGATGCCTGCCCTCTGAATTTACATAAAGTCAAATACCAGCTGCTAAAACAAATCAGCTCTTATGTGCATTTCTGTGTGTCTCTGTGCTCTAAATGACATGCAGAGAAATATTCTTCCTGCTTTCTGTGGTTGTGTACATGCATTAATCATTACCAACGTAGCACAGATTCAGGTTTAACAAGTATTTTACAGCCACCCATCTGTTCAACACACCCTGATTGAAGTGCATTGTGCAGTTACTGAATGTTGATGGCACAGCACCTGTACCATTCATTCGCCAGAGAAAAACACGCAAGGGTTCTCATGTTCTTCAATCATTGTGTCGCTTATCTTTTATTTTGAAACTGTTTACCGTAACTTTTGCTTGATTTCGGTATGGTTTGTTTACCATTCAGATCATGCTTAAGTGATTTGTGGTATCAAGATATCTCTTTTGTAAGTTCAAAGTTCATTTGAAGTCCAATAGCCTTTCAAAGCCTTGAGATGCCTCGCCCAAACAGGAATGTGTGGATAAGCTTGAAGGACAGCATCTTTTTCCGAACATGTCACAGTCAGTTAATAAGGATGACATTCCAGAAACTTCCAAAGTTTCATCTTAAACAACTTACTGAACCAACCAGACAGACACCAGCTGTTAGCCTAGCTGTTTTAGTGACTGAACTTGCCAATACTAAACCTGCTAGCTTTCACATATTCCCCTGTTTCTACGTATTGCGAATTGCTTGTTATGTATGAAAGTTTTTTATTTAATTATGTCATCATGTCATGCTAAGAAAAACATTGCCAGCCTTGCTACGTTGAGCAAACATTCTCCTTTCAAAAATGGCTAATAATTACTTTATTTTCACTTTATATATTGAGTTTATTTAAAGGAAATTTTACTTTAATACTTTTAAGACATAGTTTATGGGCTGATAATTACATAATTGAGCATTCACCCTCTTCATGGACTGTTGTAACTGTTAATTAGATCCACAGCGGTATGCTAACATCAAACTAGCAATCATATTAAAGTTCACTGAGATTCCTTTTCAAACAAGTTCTGTGAACAAAATGTTCTTATTATTCCACTGGTTACATATGCTTATTCAATGAGAACTTAGTTCCTCCAAATTGTTTTGTTTTTTTTGTTTCTGACCTTGCAAAGACATTGCTAGCCTACCAGACTAGTTTCCCAGGCCAAAATAGCTTATAAGTAATTTGTGAATTTCTGTAAAATAAATGTTTCAGACTAATCAAAGTAGTACTACACTTTAATAACATATCATGTCCATTCAGTAAATACAAAGTCATTTTAAAGTGTATTGTTTCATCATTCCATGCTAGCTAACACCAATCTAGCTTTGCTGAGCAGGTTTTCCTGAACAACACTAGCTGAAATTGTATTTTATCCTCAGTTTTTCTATTAATAGTTTATGAAAAGAACAGTTTTCTTTGTAATTTTACCATATATATTTTAATTATAGCAACTGGAAATGTCACAGTTAGTCTCAATTGATTATAACTGCTGCAGAGACAGCAGTGGCTATTATACTGGTTGGATTTCTTATGCGTTTTCAGGTTATTCCAGTTATTTATTTATACATACTAGTCCTTCAATAAGTTTTCTATCATCTAAAGTGTATTTTGTTTTATTACCTGTTATGTAAAGAAAAACATTATAGCTAAGGTGGTGCAAATCAAAATGAACTGAGACGTTTAAAAGCATGACATATTGTTTTATAAACTCTTTGGGGGAATTGTGAAAGCAGTTGTGTTGTATTTCACTTTATTTAGGGGCATCAGTGTAAACAAAGACACTAGATTTTCACATTTTTATTTGTGAAAAAAAAAGCTTGAAAACCATGCATCATTGTTCTCCATCTTCACAAATTTTAACTACATTGTATTGGTTCATGAAAAAAAATCCCAACAAAATACATTTACATCCTTAAGATACGAGACAAAATGTAAACAACAAAAAAAAAAGTTTAAGGTGGTGTGGCTAATCTAGCTGGACTAAGTCCAAGCACTTTACCAACATGTTCCAAAAAAAACAAAAAACTTGGCAATCCCAATCCCTCTGATAAATAATTTCTTTTCAGCTGTGCAGTCCAAGTTTATCTTATCAATACAGCAGATTTTTTTGGGAAAGTGCTTCACATCCGTTCATCCATCACCTGCTGGTCCATGCAGGATCACGGAGCAGCTGTTGTCGATCTGCTGCTCTCTTTGGCGGGGTTCACCCTGGACAAGTCGCCAGTCCATCAAATTTAAAAAAAACTATCATATTAAAGGATTAAAATACAACAAACCCAACAAATTTCACAAAATAAAACCTGCGTAAAACAAACCCTGCACCATGACATGTTTTTATTTTTCATTTAGTTACGAAAACAGGATCTTGAAAATTCTAATGAAGAGTCATATCTGAGGACCTACCTCTGCTACATGTAACATTTAATGTCTTGAGGAAATTCAGATGACACTTGGTAGGAAACCGGAACACATGGCTAATTAGGACATAGTATGTCGAGTAAGTGGTCGCAGAGATTGTCTTTGTCTCAGAACAAAAGCTAATGTTTAAGTTTACAGAATTTGTGTTTTTACTTAACGATTTAGGTGGGAGGGAACATAACACCATTAATCTATTTATTTTCAATTAGGTTGCTGTGGCTGATTTAATTCACTGTTTAAGTCTATGGACTGTTGCACTGACCGTTTTCAAACCAGAGTTTTAAAATTAAAGGTCAGTTTGCAGAAATGTCAAGTGACTGAAAACCAAATCCACATGTATGCCTTTTTCTTGGAAATGCTTCATGTCACCAGCAACATTGTATCCCAGCCGAAATAAAAGCCAGAATAGTTGTGTCCTTGTGAGCAGATCTGCTGAGCTTGAGATGTAGAGGAAAAAATGGTTGTTGTGCACATTTTTATATCAAGGCATCTGTCTTTATGTCCACTTATTTGGCAGAGTTCACCTATTGTTTGGGAGGCTCTTCCTTTTTCTCCTCTTGTTTGGGGGGCTCTTCCTTTTTCTCCTCTTGTTTGGGGGGCTCTTCCT